GGGTAGGGTTAGTTGATAGGATGGTGTATAGGGTAGAGGTACAGTATTAGTTGATAGGATGGTGTATAGGGTAGAAGGTTTTAGTTGATAGGATGGTGTAAGGTAGAGGTATTAGTTGATAGGATGGTGTATAGGGTAGAGGTACAGTATTAGTTGATAGGATGGTGTACAGGGTAGAGGTACAGTATTAGTTGATAGGATGGTGTATAAGGTAGAGGTATTAGTTGATAGGATGGTGTATAGGGTAGAGGTATTAGTTGATAGGATGGTGTATAGGGTAGAGGTACAGTATTAGTTGATAGGATGGTGTATAGGGTAGAGGTATTAGTTGATAGGATGGTTGTACAGGGTAGGGGGACAGTATTAGTTGATAGGATGGTGTATAGGGTAGAGGTATTAGTTGATAGGATGGTTTTTACAGGGTAGAGGTACAGTATTAGTGATAGGATGGTGTCCCAGGGTTTAGAGGTATTAGTTGATAGGATGGTGTATGGGGGTAGAGGTATAGTTGATAGGATGGTGTATAGGGTAGAGGTTTTAGTTTGATATGATGGTGTACAGGGTAGAGGTACAGTTTTAGTTGATAGATGGTGTACAGGGTAGAGGTATTAGTGATAGGATGGTTAGGGGTAGAGGTGCAGTATTAGTTGATGGATGGTGTATAGGGTAGGGTATGATGTGATAGGATGGTGTATTAGGGTAGAGGTATTATTTGATATGATGGTGTACAGGGTAGAGGTATTAGTTGATATGATGGTTGTACAGGGTAGAGGTGTTGTTGATAGGATGGGTATGTGTAATGGGGGTATAGTTATGGAGGTGATAGGGTAGAGGTACAGTATTAGTTGATAGGTGGTGTATGGGTAGAGGTATTAGTTGAAGGATGGTGTATAGGTAGAGGTATAGTGATAGGAGGTGTATAGGGTAGAGGTACAGTATTAGTTGATAGGATGGTGTATAGGGTAGAGGTACAGTATTAGTTGATAGGATGGTGTACAGGGTAGAGGTATTAGTTGATAGGATGGTGTACAGGGTAGAGGTACAGTATTAGTTGATAGGATGGTGTATAGGGTAGAGGTACAGTATTAGTTGATAGGATGGTGTATAGGGTAGAGGTACAGTATTAGTTGATAGGATGGTGTACAGGGTAGAGGTATTAGTTGATAGGATGGTGTACAGGGTAGAGGTATTAGTTGATAGGATGGTGTATAGGGTAGAGGTATTAGTTGATAGGATGGTGTACAGGGTAGAGGTATTAGTTGATAGGATGGTGTATAGGGTAGAGGTATTAGTTGATAGGATGGTGTATAGGGTAGAGGTATTAGTTGATAGGATGGTGTATAGGGTAGAGGTATTAGTTGATAGGATGGTGTATAGGGTAGAGGTATTAGTTGATAGGATGGTGTATAGGGTAGAGGTACAGTATTAGTTGATAGGATGGTGTATAGGGTAGAGGTATTAGTTGATAGGATGGTGTATAAGGTAGAGGTACAGTATTAGTTTATATTATGATAATGCCCTTTTAGTGTAAGAGCTTTTTTTTTTTTATACGCCTGGAATTTCAGCCTTTTCAGGTGGAATGGAGTTTTTGGCCCACAGCATGACATCACAATCCAATCTGATCTGATTATTCTGACCAATGACCAGTCATCTTTTATTTGGGTAGCCTCTAGAGTCTAGAGTCTAGACGATCCTATCTGCCAATCAGGGCTGTGTATGTAAATATATAAAAATGCGTATAAATAAGCCCACATGATCAGACTAGAGCATTTCAATGGCAAAATATACAGTACCAGTCAAAAGTTTGGACACACCTACTCTTTCAAGATAATTTCTTTATTTTTACTATTTTCTACATTGTAGAATAATAGTGAAGACCTCAAAACAATGAAATAACACATATGGAATCATGTAGTAACCAAAAAAGTGTTAAACAAATCAAATATATTTTATATTTGAGATTCTTCAAATACATTTGACATTTTTGTCATTTAGCAGACGCTCTTATCCAGAGCGACTTACAGTTAAGTGAGTGCATACATTTTCATACTGGCCCCCCCGTGGGAATCAAACCCACAACCCTGGCGTTGCAAACGCCATGCTCTACCAACTGAGCTTCATCCCTGCCGGCCATTCCCTCCCCTACCCTGGACGACGCTGGATAATTGTGCACCGCCCCATGGGTCTCCCGGTCGCGGCCGGCTACGACAGAGTCTGGATGGCCACCCTTTGCCTTGATGACAGCTTTGCACACTCTTGGCATTCTCTCAACCAGCTTCATGAGGTAGTCACCTGGAATGCATTTCAATTAACAGGTGTGCCTTCTTAAAAGTTAATTTGTGGAATTTATTTCCTTCTTAATGCGTTTGAGCCAAACAGTTGTTTTGTGAATAGGTAGGTGGGGTATACAGAAGATAGCCCTATTTGGTAAAAGACCAAGTCCATATCATGGCAAGAACATCTCAAATAAGCAAAGAGAAACGACAGTCCATCATTACTTTAAGACATGAAGGTCAGTCAATACGGAACATTTCAAGAACTTTGAGGACCGCCACAGGAATGGAAGACCCAGAGTTACCTCTGCTGCAGAGGATAAGTTCATTAGAGTTACCAGCCTCAGAAATTGCAACCCAAATAAATGCTTCACAGAGTTCAAGTAACAGACACATCTGAACATCAACTGCTCAGAGGTGACTGTGTGAATCAGGCCTTCATGGTCGAATTGCTGCAAATAAACCACTACTAAAGGACACCAATAAGAAGAAGAGACCTGCTTGGGCCAAGAAACACGAGCAATGGACATTAGACTGGTGGAAATGTGTCCTTTGGTCTGGAGTCCAAATTTGAGATTTTTGTTTCAAACCGCTGTGTCTTTGTGAGACATGGAGGAGGAGGTGTTATGGTGTGGGGGTGCTTTGCTGATGACACTGTCTGTGATATATTTAGAATTCAAGGCACACTTAAGCAGCATGGCTACCACAGCATTGTGCAGCGATACGCCATCCCATCTGGTTTGTGCTTAGTGGGACTATCATTTGTTTTTGAACAGGACAATGACCCAACACACCTCCAAGCTGTGTAAGGGCTATTTTTCCAAGAAGGAGAGTGATGGAGTGCTGATTCTTCAAAGTAGCCACCCTTTGCCTTGATGACAGCTTTGCACACTCTCGGCATTCTCTCAACCAGCTTCACCTGGAATGCTTTTCCAACAGTCTTGAAGGAGTTCTCACATATGCTGAGCACTTGTTGGCTGCTTTTCCTTCACTCTGCAGTCCGACTCATCCCAAACCATTTTAATTGGGTTGAGCTCGGGGGATTGGGGAGGCCAGGTCATCTGATGCTCAAATATAAAATATATTTTGATTTGTTTAACACTTTTTTGGTTACTACATGATTTACTACATGTGTTATTTCATAGTTTTGATGACTTCCCTATTATTCTACAATGTAAAAATAAAGAGTTACCAGCCTCAGAAATTGCAGCCCAAATAAATGCTTCACAGAGTTCAAGTAACAGACACATCTCAACATCAACTATTCAGAGGAGACTGTGTGAATCAGGCCTTCATGGTCGAATTGCTGCAAAGAAACCACTACTAAAGGACACCAATAATAATAAGAGACCTGCTTGGGCCAAGAAACACAAACAAAGGACATTAGACCGGTGGAAATTTGTCCTTTGGTCTGGAGTCCAAATTTGAGATTTTTGGTTCCAACCGCCGTGTCTTTGTGAGACGCGGTGTGGGTAAACGGATGATCTCCGCATGTGTAGTTCCCACCGTAAAGCATGGAGGAGGAGGTGTTATGGTGTGGGGGTGCTTTTCTGGTTAAGTGTGCCTTGAATTCTAAATAAATCACAGACAGTGTCACCAGGGGATTAAACTTTGTTATTATTTAAACTGCTGATTGCCGTTTTAAAGAGGCTAATTGTTTACCTCAAATGTTGGCTTGGGTGTTGCATGTATGGTTCAAATATACATCATATAATATTAATCAATTTCTTAACACATGAAACCACGCAATCCTTGGCTTATTTAGGGGACACCTTTTGGCTCAGGAGCACTATCAGATTCAACTGAGCATGAACATGTCATATCATTCCTTGACAACCTTCATTTACTTCTCTATAAATTAAGCCCAAATACGTCCAAATACGTTACATAACCTCTTGGGTCAATATCAAGTTCAACTCCACTCCACTCCACACAAAACACAACATTCTCAGGGCATGACAACATCCCAACTGCTTTTCCCGTTCAAAAATCCTCCTTTGCTGTAAAGTCCTCCTTTGCTCAGTTGGGCTGAGCGTCTGAGACCGGGGCCAGATGAAATACACCATGATCTACGGCATCCAGCAGATGTCACATTGTTGTGTGTTGTCTGGAGCGGAGAGGCTGATGATGCAAATGTTTTATCGGAGGGCCCTTCAATCTTAAAGGTGCACCGTCCACTGACAGCTCCGTGTTATGCTTTTCATAGGAATTCCTCACCTTTCTTTTTTTTTGATAAAGTGAGGGGGAGGGAAAAGGAGAGAGAGAAAGAAAGAGGGAGAACTAAATCTTCACCCTTTCAACTAGACACAAGCAATCTCTTCCACAAGAAATACCACCGCTCTCACGCTCGGATCGTAATTTACCCACTGTGATGCCGGTTACGACCAAAACCAACGGACGGACACCTGACACCCACTCTGACACATGCAATTGGCTCAGACGTTGAGACTTGATTGGATTGCTTGAATAAATGTTGGGGTATTTTTTCCCCCTAGCCACATGTTTTTGGGGGTAATCTTATTGGCCACAGTCAGAGCCTCAGTCAGCCTCAGTGTTCCTGTATTCCTAATCTAGATGATTACACACTGAAGATGTTATGCTGATATGCTGGAATTCAAAATGATCCTGTAAGCGGATGTTATGCAATGGGGGTTGTTTTTTTGGATGATATTTGTGCGTTGCCCTTGAAACTACATGAAAACACGCACACACGCACACACACACACACACACACACACACACACACACACACCTGGCGTAGCTATCCCCGGGCGGGATGAGCTCCTGGAAGAACTGGAACTGGTAGAGGTAGAGCACCACCAGGTGACCAGCGCTGAAGATGGCCATGAGGACACACAGACAGCTGAAGAGGAGCGGGTGGAACGTCCGACAGAAGGACCACCAGGTACACAGGCCCAGAAAGGTGAAGAAGTAGACTGCAGAGGTCAGGGAGGGCAGCATGATGCCTGGAACAGCATAGAAGCAGAGGGGGGACGTAGTGACTGATGGAACATCCTCAGTGAGACTGGATGGAGCAGTATATATTGTATTACACCTTTACGTCGTTGTCCGATCTCATCTCTGATTTGAAAAATTCTGACACACTTGGTAACTTCAGCATTCCAGGAAAAGAAGTTAAACATTCAGAAAGGCTTTGGGAAACAAGGTTTATCCTGATAATCTACAATAGATGTGTGGGGAGATTTTACTGTATTGTCTTATACAAATATTGAATATTGAATGTTTATACTGTATGTAAAATTTAATTACATTTAATCAGGGATTCAATCATGTCAGTTCAAGCAAATTAAAAATTTAGTAATTCCACTGCTCTGATGATAAATTGGGGATTGTCTGACAGTCATTCCAGTGAGGGCACTTACCTGTAAAGCCCAGTAATATGGTTACCACTACTTTCCCTGCAGTGGTAATAAGATTCCCAATAATCTCCTTGACTTTGGATGCCACCTCCGCTATCTGACGAAGGATCTTCATCTTGGTGCTCTCCTCCTCTCCTTCTCCTTCTTCCCCCTCTCCTCCCTCCTCCACCTCATCACCAGTCATCTCTCCATCTCCATCCTCCCCCGGCTCAAAGTCCTCCTCCAACATCAGGTCGTCCTCCTCCAACCCCACCTCCTCCTCTTTCTCCTCTACCTCCTCCTCTTCCTTCTTTTCCTGGGGAAAGAAGATGAATACAATCAGTATCAACGCAGAGTTTAATAACCTGTACACCCTGTAGCTAGGGCCTTTACCCTGTACACCCTGTAGTTAGGGCCTTTACCCTGTACACCCTGTAGCTAGGGCCTTTACCCTGTACACCCTGTAGCTAGGGACTTTACCCTGTACACCCTGTAGCTAGGGACTTTACCCTGTACACCCTGTAGCTAGGGACTTTACCCTGTACACCCTGTAGTTAGGGCCTTTACCCTGTACACCCTGTAGATAGGGACTTTACCCTGTACACCCTGTAGCTAGGGACTTTACCCTGTACACCCTGTAGCTAGGGACTTTACCCTGTACACCCTGTAGCTAGGGACTTTACCCTGTACACCCTGTAGCTAGGGACTTTACCCTGTACACCCTGTAGCTAGGGACTTTACCCTGTACACCCTGTAGCTAGGGACTTTACCCTGTACACCCTGTAGCTAGGGACTTTACCCTGTACACCCTGTAGCTAGGGACTTTACCCTGTACACCCTGTAGCTAGGGACTTTACCCTGTACACCCTGTAGCTAGGGACTTTACCCTGTACACCCTGTAGCTAGGGCCTTTACCCTGTACACCCTGTAGCTAGGGACTTTACCCTGTACACCCTGTAGCTAGGGACTTTACCCTGTACACCCTGTAGCTAGGGACTTTACCCTGTACACCCTGTAGCTAGGGACTTTACCCTGTACACCCTGTAGCTAGGGCCTTTACCCTGTACACCCTGTAGTTAGGGCCTTTACCCTGTACACCTGTAGCTAGGGCCTTTACCCTGTACACCCTGTAGTTAGGGCCTTTACCCTGTACACCCTGTAGCTAGGGCCTTTACCCTGTACACCCTGTAGCTAGGGCCTTTACCCTGTACACCCTGTAGCTAGGGCCTTTACCCTGTACACCCTGTAGCTAGGGTCTTTACCCTGTACACCCTGTAGCTAGGGCCTTTACCCTGTACACCCTGTAGCTAGGGACTTTACCCTGTACACCCTGTAGCTAGGGCCTTTACCCTGTACACCCTGTAGCTAGGGCCTTTACCCTGTACACCCTGTAGTAGGGCCTTTACCCTGTACCCCTGTAGTTAGGGCCTTTACCCTGTATACCCTGTAGCTAGGGCCTTTACCCTGTACACCCTGTAGTTAGGGCCTTTACCCTGTACACCCTGTAGCTAGGGCCTTTACCCTGTACACCCTGTAGCTAGGGACTTTACCCTGTACACACCCTGTAGCTAGGGACTTTACCCTGTACACCCTGTAGCTAGGGACTTTACCCTGTACACCCTGTAGTTAGGGCCTTTACCCTGTACACCCTGTAGATAGGGACTTTACCCTGTACACCCTGTAGCTAGGGACTTTACCCTGTACACCCTGTAGCTAGGGACTTTACCCTGTACACCCTGTAGCTAGGGACTTTACCCTGTACACCCTGTAGCTAGGGACTTTACCCTGTACACCTGTAGCTAGGGACTTTACCCTGTACACCCTGTAGCTAGGGACTTTACCCTGTACACCCTGTAGCTAGGGACTTTACCCTGTACACCCTGTGAGCTAGGGCTTACCCTGTACACCCGACTATGGGACTTTACCCTGTACACCCTGTAGCTAGGACTTTACACCTGTACACCCTGTAGGTCGAGGGCCTTTTACCCTGTACACCCTGTAGCTAGGGACTTTACCCTGTACACCTGTAGCTAGGGACTTTACCCTGTACACCCTGTAGCTAGGGACTTTACCCTGTACACCCTGTAGCTAGGGACTTTACCCTGTACACCCTGTAGCTAGGGCCTTTACCCTGTACACCCTGTAGTTAGGGCCTTTACCCTGTACACCTGTAGCTAGGGCCTTTACCCTGTTACACCCTGTAGTTAGGGCCTTTACCTGTACACCTGTAGCTAGGGCCTTACCCTGTACCCCCTGTAGCTAGGGCCTTTACCCTGTACACCCTGTAGCTAGGGCCTTTACCCTGTACACCCTGTAGCTAGGGTCTTTACCCTGTACACCCTGTAGCTAGGGCCTTTACCCTGTACACCCTGTAGCTAGGGACTTTACCCTGTACACCCTGTAGCTAGGGCCTTTACCCTGACACCCTGTAGCTAGGGCCTTTACCCTGTACACCCTGTAGCTAGGGCCTTTACCTGTACACCCTGTAGTTAGGGCCTTTACCCTGTATACCCTGTAGCTAGGGCCTTTACCCTGTACACCCTGTAGTTAGGGCCTTTACCCTGTACACCCTGTAGCTAGGGCCTTTACCCTGTACACCCTGTAGCTAGGGACTTTACCCTGTACACCCTGTAGCTAGGGCCTTTACCCTGTACACCCTGTAGTTAGGGCCTTTACCCTGTACACCCTGTAGCTAGGCCTTTACCCTGTACACCCTGTAGCTAGGGCCTTTACCCTGTACACCCTGTAGCTAGGGCCTTTACCCTGTACACCCTGTAGTTAGGGCCTTTACCCTGTACACCCTGTAGCTAGGGCCTTTACCCTGTACACCCTGTAGCTAGGGCCTTTACCCTGTACACCCTGTAGCTAGGGCCTTTACCCTGTACACCCTGTAGCTAGGGCCTTTACCCTGTACACCCTGTAGCTAGGGCCTTTACCCTGTACACCCTGTAGCTAGGCCTTTACCCTGTACACCCTGTAGCTAGGCCTTACCCTGTACACCTGTAGCTAGGGCCTTTACCCTGTACACCACCTTACCTAGTAGCTAGGGCTTACCTGTACACCCTGTAGCTAGGGCCTTTACCCTGTACACCCTGTAGCTAGGGACTTTACCTGTACACCCTGTAGCTAGGGCTTCTTACCCTGTACACCCTGTAGTTAGGGCCTTTACCCTGTACACCCTGTAGCTAGGGACTTTACCCTGTACACCCTGTAGCTAGGGACTTTACCCTGCCTCGTTGAGTAGAAACAGCACCCTGCCTCATTGAGCAGCAACAGCACCCTGCCTCGTTGAGCAGAAACGGCACCCTGCCTCGTTGAGCAGAAACGGCACCCTGCCTCGTTGAGTAGAAACGACACCCTGCCTCGTTGAGTAGAAACGGCACCCTGCCTTGTTAAGTAGAAACGGCACCCTGCTTTGTTGAGTAGAAACGGCACCCTGCCTTGTTGAGTAGCAACGGCACCCTGCCTTGTTGAGTAGAAACGGCACCCTGCCTCGTTGAGTAGAAACGGCACCCTGCCTCGTTGAGTAGAAACGGCACCCTGCCTCGTTGAGTAGAAACGGCACCCTGCCTCGTTGAGTAGAAACGGCACCCTGCCTTGTTGAGTAGAAACGGCACCCTGCCTCATTGAGTCTTTGCTGAGTAGCCCTGTTTTGTGTGTTGAGAGTGAGACACTAGAGCTGTGCTAAAAACCCTGTTAAGAATTTGATACAGATATAGGGGTTAAGGAGGGTCCCAGGAGTTACGTCCCATTGTAATTATTAATGAGAGGGGTTATAGGAGAGATTAGAGGTCTGCTTGACAATGACATTCAGCAGGACCGTACTCCAGACCACACGTTTAACGAGCATTTCAACCAGTTGTCTCTTTTTATTGCACAAAAGGACTAAACCCACTCTAACGACTGCCTGCAATGCAGCAGACCTGCACGTTTCACTAAACATCAGCCAGTGCGTTTGGATTTATATGCTAATTATATTAGAAGACTGCTATCATACAAACCAGGAAAAAGGCATATGCATGTCAATAAATTATAAATGGTTAACATTCTGGTTTACATTAGCCATGAGCTATAGTGTACGTCAAATTGCATTTAATAAAGGTCAGAAATTAACAGCCGTTCATTTCAGGCCATATGGTGGACGTAACAAAGGGAAAAGCTGAGCAGATTATCATTTATATTCATAATCAATCCCTGGAATTCAATAGATGTTGCTCTTGCGTCCTTGCTTTTTACAGTGCCTTCAGAAAGTATTCATACCCCTTGACTTATTCCACATGTTGTTGTGTTACAGCCAGAATTCTATTTTTTTAAAAGTCTATAAGAGCTTTCCACACCTGGATTGTGCAACATTTGCCCATTATTATTTTCTAAATTCTTCAAGCTCTGTCAAATTGGTTGTTAATCATTGCTAGACAACAATTTTCAGGTCTTACCATAGATTTTCAAGTAGATTTAAGTCAAAACTGTAACTCAGCCACTCGGGAACAAATCCAGTGTAGATTTGTTGAGTTTTAGATTATTGTCCTGCTGAAAGGTGAATTCATCTCCCAGTGTCTGGTGGAAATCAGACTGAACCAGGTTTTCCTCTAGGATTTGGCCTGTGTTTAGCTCCATTCCGTTTCTTTTTTACCCCGAAAAACTCCTAAGTCCTTAATGACTACAAGCATACCCATAACATGATGCTGCCACCACTATGCTTGAAAATATGGAGAGTGGTACTCAGTAATGTGTTGTATTGGATTTGCCCCATAGATAACACTTTCTATTCAGGACAAAAAGTGAATTGCCACATTTTTTGCAGTATTACTTTAGTGCCTTGTTGCCAGAGTATGTGAGCGGAGTTGAGAGGTCGGAAATCTCGCGCACCGCTCCGGCACTCCACCTCCTTTCCAACAATTATGCTAAAAACCGCTCCTCACTCACAGGAAAAAAAACTGCTTTTTTTTTTCTCCAAATTCGCCCCATTCTTTAAAATCACTATTTACCCAACACTCATCTATTTTTGTGACTACCTGGACATACCATTTGGTTTTGAAATATTGAAACCAACCATATGATTTCAATTAAAAGCATTTTAATAAACAAACAGCAAAAGGTGACTGTAAGGAACGAAGATTAATTATTTAGGCTATATGATTTCAATTATTTCAACGCTATAGACACTAGGCTGGCAGGGACATTAAGCTCCCAGCATTTAAACAACATTTCATTGTATTAAATCATTATAGTCTATAAATTGCGCATACAGGCTGTGACTTACTTAAACTTAAATACAAATTAAATGAAAAATGCCTTATTAGGCTCAGTCTACA